CCCTCTGCTGAGTTTATTAAATACCAACAGCTTTACAGCTACTTATCTGTAAACATTACACAGTAACAAAAAGATCATCTGACTTTGATGGTCACTGATTATTATATGATACTACTTCCTTTACTCACGCTACAAATATATCATTTGGGAAGTTTTCTTTTCTATTTGTTTCAGTCCTGCTTTTCTTTGAAGTCAGTATCTGTTGATTACAAAAAAAAGTCTTGTTTTCAGCTTCTAATAACATTTTACCAGCTTTTGCCACCGTCTCAAAACATTTCTGGTTCTGCAATAAAAGAGGAATTACAACAGCGAGTGAATGGCAGCATCCACTGGACAGCCACTGGAACCAGGATGAATGAAGTATCATTTATACAATTTTTTTGTTTATTTATTTTCAAAAAGAATAAAGCAGCAGCTCAGCATGATTTTACCAGTCTGATCTGAGTGTCTGGCCTTCTCTTGAGAAAGACTTGACACTTTCTTCCACTTTTGTACAATTTTATAAATGATCTTTACTGTTTTACCCGTCTCATCGTCCCTGTTGCTGGATGTGGTGTCACTCTCCACTCAGCCTCCCCTGCTGTGCACAGGTGATGGCATACAGTACATCTCTCATATAACTATCCCGCTCAGTATGGGGTTATAGAACTGTGGGGAAATGGATTAAATCAGTCATTAATGTTGTTTTCATCGAGAATATTGCAGCTGGCTGCAGAGTGACATTAATATGAATGATGTCTCATGGTAGTGGATTTCTTTTTTATATGTAAAAATTGCACTCAGGAATTGTAAACATCCAGTAATTTATAATAAGCTGCACTTTGAAGAGTTGCTGGTATTCTTCTATACCATCCAGCCTGTAATTGATGGTAATTGTGTTAGCGCCACAAGGTTGTTAATAGATTCAGTAAAACATCCTGGTCCTTTAGTGAATGATGTAATGTAAAAGTCTGTTTCAGTTTTCTGAGTGCGCCTACAACAGCTGTCCAACACTCTTGATTGTAAATGTTAAAAGTGCTTCTTAATGCTTGTTCAATCAGATTTAGCATAAAGTCAACTTTGTGAACACACCCTCTTATAAAACCAGATTAACCAAATTTACATTTAAAGGCTTTTTGCATCTTATTCCTGTGACTTCTGAAAAAATGTCATACTATGAAACTGATATTTGTTCAGTGGGTTCAGCTGAGTTGCTGAGAAGTTTGGAAAATCATTACTTTAAGCACTCACGATTGTTTCTTTATTATAACTTGGTTTTAAAGAGCAGGTTCACTGAGAAACTTTTTTTCCTTGCTAGGTTTGAAAATTTGACCCCTATTCTACCCGTATTTCCTGCATTAGCCTCTGATAGAAAATAGAAAAACGCCGGTTTAGAAAGCCTGACAGATCTATGTCACACTGTCACAAAACATTCATGGACTCCCATCTTGGTTCATGACGGGGAAGGCTGTTGTTCGTTTAGCGTCCAGGAAACAGCAAAGTCTCGACTTGTAGAATCAGCGTTGTAGAGTCGCGTTGCTTTTAGCCAATCAGAGGCAAGACGTCCAAATATTAGGAAATAAGACTCCAAATCCTGTTGTGTTCTCCCACTTTCTCCTCAAACAGGCACACCGGAGCTCTTTTTCCCCAGAGAACCACTAACAATGCATTTGTTCCTAATAAAGACCACTGCCATTGTATTAAAATTATGAATACAGTCGACCTTTATCTTATTTTGTTTCATAAAGCAAAAACTCAATGAAGCTAATTCTGTTGCACAAATTTCCATGAGTTATATAAAGTGTCTACACTGAGGAAACGGCATGACTGCTATCAGCCTTCATTTTGTCTTTGTGTCCCCTCCCACCCCACATAGCTGTCTGCTACCTCCACATCCAGAGCTGCCTTCTTGCAGTGCCTACGCTGGGGAGTTTGGTGCCCCTTCCAGGAGCCAGCTGTCTGGAAAGACATAGAGATACAGCTTGTTCTGCACGGGGGTGCAACACCAAATCCTTATGGAGTGATGGTCTACAGCACAGAGACCCCTAAAACACAGAGTCCTGAACCCGTCTCAGGTCCAAGCACAGCTCAGGTAAATCTGTAGCGCAGAGAGAAGGACCAGGGAAGGCCTTTAAATACTGTGATGATGTTGCTGCATATAAGTAAAACCTTCTCATCTGTGCAGCTATGTATTTATGCATAGTTTGCATCATTTACACTCACCAGTTTAACTACTGTTGTGTCTCAAGTCGTATTCTTGAGAAAAAACAAAATATTCATGTGTGAAATTGCTGATTAAACTTCACAACTTTCCTTGAGGAATTTGTGTCTCAGTGATCATCACAGTATTTGAAAAAGTACACCTTTCATTCCCTCTTGTGTTTGCTGTTTTATCGACACTAGTTGTGTCCCTTCCAGACAGCATCTCGACAGTTATGTCTTCACCAATTCTCTTGTGTTACAGAGATTTTCTTCCCTCAAGGAGCACTCGGAGGAAAAGGATATGATAAGATTCTGGCTTTTGTCCAGCCTGGGGAAGAAGATGTCCAGCCCTAGGGTGTCTCAGCGGACCAAGCAGGAGGAAGCATCACATCAGAGGAAATCCCCTTCATCACCTTCACAGAGTAAGTATCGTTATGTGATTCATAATAGTTGTTTTCCTTTAAATTAATACTCATTGATTATTAGCTAAAGAACAGGATACAAGGATTTGCATATGGCAGTGGTTCCCAACCTTTTTCCCAAGGGACCCCGTTTCTTACCAGTAACATTTTTGACGAGCCCCTCCCATTCTCTCTTCCAGTATAAACATTATTAGGAAATGATAAAATTGTTCAAGCACATTTTAATATGCTTTGATTCAATAGATAACAGTAATAATAGGCTCCAGTACAGAACAAAGTCATTAACAAAACCAAACAGAGCATAATGTGCTTGACAGTTTGTATTACTTTTCTGAACACATTGTTTCTTGTAAACACTGATAAATTAATCATTCCTTTCAATAAACGTTTGACACATAAAAAATACACTGAGCAAAATGTACTTAAATGTGTATATTACTGTTTATACTAGATTATTTACTGTAAAGGCTGTGATTAATCAACCAGTCCTATCTTTAATGAACTTTTGACAAAATAAAACAGTGAGCGGAGCAAAATGTTCTTAAAAGTATGTTACTTTTTCTGTACTAATTGTTTCCTGTCTTAATATCAGTAAACTTTTCACTCATGAAAAAAAAGTGAGCAAAATGTAGGCTATAAACAAGTAATAAATGAAGTTTTAACCCCTTAAAGTGGACAGGTCCTGGCGACCCACTGGCGCCCCCTTGTGGGGGTCGGGACCCCCAGGTTAGGAACCACTGGCACATGGGGTCTGTGCTGATTAAAGCTCTCATGGCGAATCTTCAAACGCACAACCAAGGTCACGGAATACTCACCCCTCCCCTCGGGTGTCTTCCCTAAGACGCTTCGGCTGGAACCGGAAACCAGCGATGGCGGACGAAGAAAAACCTGAGAACTCTGAACAGTTCTTTGTATTTTTGTTTTTCTTGTGGAAGACCAGGGAAAGTCGTTTGAGGGGGGGGGGCGCTTCGTGAATAACTGCGGGATTTCACTAGTAAAAACTACATTATTCCAACCTTTCAGATTAAGCGTGACTGCTCCACAGTCTCCTTTCTGAATGAAGTTCTGACCTCCAAGCTTCAGGCCCGCCTCCCAGTAAAACCACGCTTTGATTGAATGTTTAACGACAGCCCATCGCTGAAGACAAATGATGCGCCACTGTCTGCATCCCTTTTCAAAACCCAAACTGCTGATTTGTTGTGAGTCTGTCAGTGAGCTGATTAAAAGCGTGGTAACGCAGCCACTCAATCCCAGAGACAGCACGGGGAACTTGAGTGAACCCTGGTTGTATAATTGATTATTTCCCTTCTAATGAGACTGTTAGTTTATCTTTGGAGTGGAGAATAGCGTTGATCGTGGCCTTTGTTGTTAGAAGATAGACATTATTGATGACATTTTAATCAATGTGCAGTTGTTATTACTTTTACAGGGTAAGTCTGAAGTCTTTTCCAGAGGAGAGTAAAATAAAACTATTGTTTATGTGATTGAGCTCGGGAGATTTTAACCACACTCTGCTTGGTTACACTCCCATCTTTACATCCTGAAATAATTCAATAACCCTTTGAGATTTATGGAGTTTATTGTGCCTTACTGGTCATCCCGCTCTAAAGGAGAAGCATGTGCAATAAGTGTGCTGCCTGCAGATGGAGCTCGCTGCAAAATTAATAAAGTGATACGCTAGCAGTCACAATGGACCTTTAGCTTATTCTTCATGAACACGACTTCCTGTAGGAATGTTAGAAATTCCCTTTAAGTCTACTGATCTATAATTTAGCTTCAGAATCCTGCTTTCTTTATGCTACCGACGCATTCCACTCTGTGTTCCTATTAAAGCGACAAGAGAAGAAAAAAACGTTGTTTAGAAATGATCTTTTCAAAGACGCTCAATAATTTATTAGCTGTACATTTCCTAATGTGCTATTTGCATGTCCCTGTTGTGTTGTAGCCATCCACCCTCCACCTATCATGAAGCAAACAGGCATCCAACCCGAGTTGGATGCCTGTTTGCTCAGCTGTCAAGACGGTCTCTTAGTGATCCCAAACAAATGGCCAGTTGCACATCAGTCCTGCTAACGAGGTGAATCAAATTCGCTGTACAAGTAGAGCTGTGAGAGAACAGCAAGCCCTGAAAAGAAAATGGTTGCCAAGGGGAGGATGCCAGCGCGAGTTTGTGAGCGAGAGCCAGCCAGTTCCATAACATGTCCACTCTGTATGCATGTAGTCTGAACAGATGGGAGCCACTAAAGACACCCCAGGCAACCGAAGCAATTTCCAAAAGGCCAGTCAAGCCCAGCATAAAGAGCGGGATAGAGCGGGAGAGGAGGACAGATAGATTGTGGGAAGTTTTTCATTTCAGTATTACCATGGCTACTTACCAAAAACCTCAAGGAAGCATTGTTACAGTTAAAAGTCAGCGAGCTGTTGACATCTAACTCTGGCTCTTCATCTGTGTGAAACTGGATAGATGTGTTATGTTTGTAAATAGTTCAGGGATTCCAGTGCAGTTATTTACCTCGCTCGGGTTATTCAGTACACATTGTTCCGGTGCATTCCTGCACCTCAGGATGCCAGATCGCTCCAAATCCAATCAACGGGAAAGCAATAAAAATACGACATTTTACCGTTAACCTCAGTTCTCCCTCATGCACCAACAGTCCAGTAAATGTCTAACCTCACTATAAAATAAACTGCTACAAGGTGCATAGCCTGTAGATGATATTACAGTAACATTGGTTAAGCTAGTTCAACTCAACTGTAGTCAAACCACCAGAGGACATGATGTAATCTAAGAGCTCAGCAAGTGTTACACAGCACGCTTTCTGCTTGTGTTTTTCAGGTCAAAAGCTTCAGACTTCTCTACCAGAGTCACCTCAAGGTCCCGGGGTAAGACGCTTTCCATGCATTTTATCAAAGAGGGTAAAGGCTCTACGCAGGTGTTGTACCTGTCTTTAGGCTGCATGGTGGCGCAGTTGTTAGCACTGTTGCCTCGCAGCACGAAGGTTGCAGGTTCGAAACTCGGCTGCGGCATTTCTGCGTGGAGTTATATATATATATATATATATATATATATATATATATATATATATATATATATATCAGACGTCAAGCTAAACAGTCACTCGACAGACAGGTTTAAAAATAATATGATCGATCTCGATTTTCATGCGTCATCCCAAAATAGAAGCTAATATCGTAATTTGACCTTGAATGAAAAATGTTATAAAACCTCTTAAAGGTTTTTTTATCACGGAGGAGGCAGCGCTCATTTCTGCCTTCAGTCTGACGGCACAGCGCAGCGCCGGAGTTTGCGCAGCGTGCACTTATTGAATCTTTGTGTGTGTGTGTGTGTGTGTGTGTGTGTGTGTGTGTGTGTGTGTGTGTGTGGCACAGCTCCATGAGCCTCTCCAGTCACTGCATCCCGTTATTGGCACTATTCAAACCAATGTTGTAAAATTACTTCTGCCCTGCCCAGATGTGAGCACATCTGGGCAGGGGAAACTATTTTACCAACGTGTTTCTGATAAATCCGTGATGTTTCTTCTCACGGTCGATATGTGGGCTCTTCTTTTACACAACACACTTTCAGGGTGCATCTCTGGATGAAGCGTCCCACTCTGTTTACCTTGAGTCACATTGGCTTAAGGTACACCTGAGCCCACGTGGCTGTATTGATCAAGATGCTATGACAGCTTTTCATGTAGAGGTACCTGGGGGCTTAAAGGTCACACACACGACCTACAAAGGTTACTGCACTGGCCTTTTCCCTCCTGGATTCCTCCAGACGGTTCACATCTTTTCATGTCATGTGCTGTAGATGATAAAAGACCCAAGCTGTCTGTACAGATGCAGTTATATAGGTTATGGGAACCAAAATGCTTTAGTGTAAGGCAACTTAATCAGTTTGATGGAGGATAAACGACCAGTAGGGTTAGGGTTTATTAAGAAGCATTCACTGATTAAATATAAGCACACTACAGCAACAGAGTGTTTAATCTTTACTAAAACTAACCTGCGACCCCCCTCGGTTCTTATGTAGATACTTCGGCTCCGCCCACCTCTGAAAAACCATTCCATGGAACGTTTGCTCTTCCAGGAAATGATCACCATTAATTATGTTTGAAGAACATGATGAGACCTGCATTGATCATGAGGGCAACACCATGCTAAGTTTAAACAGACAGCTGTCAGTGCTGGTACGGGATGATTTCAGGTCCCCATCAAATCAAGCAGGTAAAAAAATCTGCCTTAATAAGCAAATCTCCTGTTTCAGCCTGAATTTGACCTGCAAACTTAAACACTTTTGCCATATCTTGGTCTCCAATCGTCTCCAACATTATTAATGTGTTTCAGTCAAGCGCTGATCTTAAGATGATTTCTGCCTAGATCAGGAAGGCCTTTGAGCTGCACGCTTACATAGGCACAATGTGTTGGTCAGACAGGGATTATAAATCTTTAACACTCACACTGTGTCTGGACTGTCCACAAATGCAGCAGGTCAAGCCTATAAATCTTGTTAAACGTCAGCATAAATGACTTATTTGCCCCAGATTCTTCAAACAATGTGAGTAGGAGGTGTAACTGAAGAGATGCGTGTTTACACGTTTTTTTTTTTTTTGCATTTGCTCATCCACCTGCGTGGGATTCCAGAAATCTATATCAAAATATCCTGCATGAGGCGTTTAGCTGAATAACTACAAACCCACCCTGCATAAGGAAGCACAGATCAGTTGGAAATGTTATTCATGATGGAAGACAACAAAATGCCTGCTTGTGTCAGCTGTTGAAACCTTGGAAGCAGACAGAATATTGATGACAATCAGGTGGCGCTGCATCCAATCAGATTGAATGTCACATTAACATATGTTTATGTCGGAGGCTTCCCGTGAGCAGCTAACGGGGCGCTGATCAACCCTACCGTAGCTTCGTAATGATTTTAATTGTTCCGTGATCATCCATCTGTGGCTGGGGATTCTCGTGTTCGGTTACTAATGAGTCTTACATCAGCCGCGCGCTCCAAAGGTAGATGATGTGGATTGTGTCCGTTTGTTCAGGGTGATCTAAACTACGGGGCGGAACCACCGTCCTTCAGCATGAGTGGAAATGCCAGTGGGGACTGAAAGTTGTGATAAATGGTGGTTTTGCTAGGAGGACGAGGATAGGGACACAAGCGTGTGCACGTGCACACACAGCAACATGGAGTCAGAGTGGAGGAGGCAGGTTATCAGCTGTTTTTCAGCGCCGCCTCTCTGGGCCAAGAAGGGCCGGTTTGTCGACTTATTTTAAATTGAACCAGCAAGGGCTGCGAGCCGTGGGAGCACTGCTCCTGTGAACTCTACAAACCGACCTTATTTTGATTAAGCCGCGGAAGCAGCGGAATCCTACAAGTGGGCAACTCCCAGTGGCAGAGAAGAGCCGCCCGTGGTCGTATACTGGCCAGCTCCTGGGAACACGTTAAAGCAAAAGGTGCCTGACTGGATAAAGGTCCAGTCCAGGCAGAATTAATTAATACGGACAGGGAATATTTATTTATTTTCACAATGCGCTGTAGTTCTTGTCGCTTTAATCACATTCTTGAAATTTTTTTTGCAGCAAATAGCAGAATCTGTACTCTGCATCATACTCCCAGGGTTTAGGGGGAAGGATCAACTGCTGTTTTCCAGAAGAAGCAATTATTTTTGCACCAAACGAGAGTCACACATCATAAACGAGAACAAAAACATTGTCAATTTAATAAAATGTTGATAAGAAAATCACTGACATGCACTGCTTAAAGGATAGTAGCACAGTGAGTCTGGGCTCTTTAAACACCGTTTCTGGACACTGTACTTCATCATTAAATATGTTCATCTGGTCCGTCTCGTCTCGTCTCGTCTCGTCTTCCTCCGCTTATCCGGGTCCGGGTCGCGGGGGCAGCATCCCAACTAGGGAGCTCCAGGCCGTCCTCTCCCCGGCCTTGTCCACCAGCACCTCCGGCAGGACCCCAAGGCGTTCCCGGACCAGATTGGAGATGTAACCTCTCCAACGTGTCCTGGGTCGACCCGGGGGCCTTCTGCCGGCAGGACATGCCCGAAACACCTCCCCGGGGAGGCGTCCAGGAGGCATCCTGACCAGATGCCCAAACCACCTCAACTGGCTCCTTTCGATCCGGAGGAGCAGCGGTTCTACTCCGAGTCCCTCCCGAATGTCCGAGCTCCTCACCCTATCTCTAAGGCTGAGCCCGGCCACCCTACGGAGGAAACTCATTTCAGCCGCTTGTATCCGCGATCTCGTTCTTTCGGTCATTACCCAAAGCTCATGACCATAGGTGAGGATTGGGACGTAGATCGACCGGTAAATCGAGAGCCTGGCTTTCTGGCTCAGCTCCCTCTTCCCCACGACAGATCGGCTCAGCGTCCGCATCACTGCAGACGCCGAACCAATCCGCCTGTCGATCTCCCGATCCCTCCTACCCTCACTCGTGAACAAGACCCCGAGATACTTAAACTCCTCCACTTGAGGTAGGACCTCTCCCCCGACCCGGAGGTGGCAAGCCACCCTTTTCCAGTCGAGAACCATGATCTCAGATTTGGAGGTGCTGATCCTCATCCCAGCCGCTTCACATTCGGCCGCGAACCTACCCAGCAAGAGCTGAAGGTCAGAGCTGGATGAAGCTAGGAGGACCACATCATCCGCAAAAAGCAGAGACGAGATTCTCCTGCCACCAAACTCGACACACTCCACACCACGGCTGCGTCTAGAAATTCTGTCCATAAAAGTGATGAACAGAACCGGTGACAAAGGGCAGCCCTGGCGGAGTCCAACCCTCACTGGGAACAGGTCCGACTTACTACCGGCTATGCGGACCAAACTCACGCTCCTCTGGTAAAGGGACTGAATGGCCCTTAACAGAAAGCCACCCACCCCATACTCCTGGAGCGTCCCCCACAGGGTGCCCCTGGGGACACGGTCATACGCCTTCTCCAAATCCACAAAGCACATGTGGATTGGTTGGGCAAACTCCCATGCCCCCTCCATCACCCTTGCAAGGGTATAGAGCTGGTCCACAGTTCCACGGCCAGGACGAAAACCACATTGCTCCTCCTCTATCTGAGATTCAACTATCGATCGGACCCTCCTCTCCAGTACCTTGGAGTAGACCTTTCCAGGGAGGCTGAGGAGTGTGATCCCCCTATAGTTGGAACACACCCTCAGGTCACCCTTCTTAAAGATGGGGACCACCACCCCGGTCTGCCACTCCCTAGGAACTGCCCCCGATGACCACGCAATGTTGTAGAGACGTGTCAACCATGACAGCCCTACAACATCCATAGCCTTGAGATACCCAGGACGAACCTCATCCGCCCCCGGGGCTCCGCCGCTGTGTAGTTGTTTGACTACCTCAGCAACTTCTGCCCCCGAGATCGGACAGTCCATCCCCAGGCCTCCCAGCTCTGGTTCCTCCTCGGAATGCGCATTGGTGGGATTGAGGAGCTCCTCAAAGTATTCCTTCCACCGTCCGACTATAGCCTCAGTTGACGTCAGCAGCTCCCCATCCCCACTGTAAACAGTGTGAGCGAGTTGCTGCCTTCCTCTCCTGAGGCGCCGGACAGTTTGCCAGAACCTCTTTGGAGCCGATCGATAGTCTTTCTCCATGGCCTCACCAAACTCCTCCCACGCCCGAGATTTTGCCTCGGCAACTGCCACTGCTGCACCCCGCTTGGCTATCCGGTACCTGTCTGCTGCCTCCGGAGACCCATCTGGTTCTTTTATTATAACATTTTATTTTATTCAGTTGTCCAATGAGAAAAATGCTAAGTTGCAATCCACATTGTGAAATAAGTCTTAATATGCATCTTTGTTCATAAAAAACGTTTTTATATGATCTAAGATTGTTGAAAAGGACA